GTGACATCCGGATGTAACATGTAATGTACATGTATGTGAAGATACAGTAGAACCTGATGACTTGTTCTCTTCATACTCCCTGCTAACCTGAACTCAATCCATTTTCCCTTGGATTTGAACCCACTTTACCATCCTTTTCTGTTTACTCAAACTCAGATAACTCGAATTCCAGGCTGCTAACTCAACTAAATCTTGTTCCCACCAAAATTTACTTCGTTATAACTCAAATCCAACTCACCACAGATGCCATCCCATTTGCTTTAGTTGTGTAATCAGTAAAACACTAAAACTAATACTGCTGCAGTGATTTGGTTTTGATATAAGAAATGTACTGAACAGATCATATAATTAACAGTTATTTCCCTGTATTATCATAAGGATGTATAATATTGTGTCACACTTTACATGCTAATAACAAACAGTATTAAACTATTGTTATCTTAAACATAGCTAATTGAATATTTGATCAACTTCAATAACTTGAATCCCTGCGACCTGAATCTGATTTTCATTCAAGTTACCAAGTTTCTACACTGTAAATGTATAGCTTCCTTACGTGATTCTTAAGTTATGTTTACTTTATCCTCTCTTGTTACAGCTGTCAGCAAATTCTTGGATAGGTCCACTACTTGTAAGGCTGGCAAGCTATCCATTATTTGCACGAAGGTAACAAAATACGTCATCTGCATTTATCCATGTAACCAGTCATGTAGATATCATTATAGTGATCTTTAAACTCTCTTTTACACGTTCATTAATTATTTATTGTGCTATGCTGATCTTGATTGATTCAGTTTGCTACCTAGCTTCAGATTTGCTGCCTTCACTTCCCTCCAGTTTACTGACAGAATAACCTTTAATATTATTCATTTGATGTTTTGTGTTTTTGAAGTCTTGCATCAGTATTTGGTCCCCAAACAAGACCTTCAAGGGAAGAACTACAGGACTTTTGGACAATTGCAAGACATAAAGATGGCTATCTTGTTGCACCAAGGTTATACAAATGTACTTCTTTCTGAAGATTATGTTTATAAGGAAATGATGTGATGAACAGACACATCCATGCTTTTGATAGAGCAAACACAACATTTAAATACCCATTGCTACTGTTTTGGGGTACAGAAACTGAGCTGCCGATTGGACTTAATTGAATATTTTCTTTTCACCTTTGGGTTTTCTGTGGCAAGAAAATGTAGAGGCCATGGATTCTTCCAACCAGATGGCCATTTTGGTCAGATAACATACTCACTATATTTCTCGTTAATTTCTATGATCAAATATAAGCAAAATTTGTCATCTTAAGAATGTTAGTCTTTGGTATTTGATCTGTGTGGTGTAATATCATCAAGCATTGACAATGACCAGCTGTTAGTCACAGTAATGCTTAATGGTACCATTTTGCATTCAATAGAGAATACATATACACCTAGAGGTGTAGTAAACCTGTAAATAATATTAATTGTTTCATAAAGTAAGTTTTTGGTTTTTTTGACAGCTGTGAATCAGCTTCTCAAGTACAAATTTTACCTGACGTGTCGATATTATGATGTGAGACACTATAAAAGGTACTGAAATGTGGCACTGTGTTTAAGTATTTTGCAGTACATGAGTCAGCGGCATGAAAACAGAGGTAGATGGGTAGGGGTTATGCAAACAACTTCAGTACCAGGTAAGGAACAACTAAGAAAATGCATAATTAAAATAAAAACCTTTGAAAAAGGAAGCAGCTTAGGTGATGTACAAACTTGGACACTGAAAGCTGCTTGACGTATATTCTTAGTGCTGTTCATGATCAATGTCCATTACTTATTATTAAATTTTAGTATACACTATTAGTACTTCTAGCTTTGATATAAGTCTGACCTCCAAAGCTGGCTTATGTTATAAGCACAAGCTACCTCATACAACAGGCACTAAATTACACAATGTATTATTTCAGCATGTTCTGTTAACATTTACACTTTGTAAGATATGAGCCTGTAGGTAAAATGGCCATAATGTCTCTCCGATGAGGCAAATAATATTGTTAATGCTCTATTTCTTGTTCATGTTTCAGAACAATAAGTTGGTACATGTACATGTAGCTAATGCCTCCTCTACCATTTTTCACTGATAGTCTAGGGCATCAGTCCCTTGGAGTTCAACATACATGATTGACATTATAATCATTATAAATTCATCTTCTCTTCTTATGAAGTCAAATCGTGGACAAAATGTTCGACTTGTGGTTTCGTTTTGTCGTTTCTTTGTTTTGGTGTTTCTTTCTGTCACTTCTTAAACTGCAGTTGCAAACATTATGCATTAAGCAATAAAATAATTTTAGGTATTTTTATTTATTTGCCACACAATTACATTACTTAAAGATGCCAAAAGAAAAAAAAAAATGTAGGAAGAGATGGCGAGGAGGCCTAAAAGAAACTATAGAGCTTATGTTAATTAGGCCTCCTCAATTACAATTTTTCGAAGATGGCATAAAAATTACGGCGACGGGTACAGTATAATATCAGGTGAAAAATTAAACTAATCAATATTACGGAAGTTTACATATACAAATGTTGAATATTAAAAGGCTTTTTCCCAAGATTTTTGTTGAAGTATACTAATAATTATTACAAATAAATGCCTTAAGTGCTCTTTTAAAGGAGAAAGGTGAGGAAGCGTTGATGATGTTGGTGTTTAAGGTGTTGTAAAATTTAGGTCCTTGATAAAAAACGGAAAATTGCTTGGTTTGAGTACGACAGAAAGGCAGACGAAATTTACACGAGTTTCTTGTATTATACAAATGAATTTGACTTTGTAAGGTAAATTTACAATGAAATTTTAAGGGTAGAGTATGGTTTTGATAGGAGTACATGAATAAGCCTAGTTGTATTAAGTATATATCATGAAATTTTAAGATACCAAGATTTTGAAAGATTGGATCAGTATGTGCATCGAAAGTGGTTTTAGCTATAGTTCTGATCACTCATTTCTGTAAAATCTCAAGACGAATAAGGTTAGTTCTGTAAGTAGAGGCCCAAACTAAGTTGCAGTAAAAAAGGTATGGATAGACTAGAGAAAAATATAGTGTTCGTAAGGTTTTCGTGGATAAATAGAAACTGGATTTACGAATAATTCCTGTGCATTTAGAAACTTTATTGGCGACATGTGAGATTTCAGATTTCCAATTTAAATTTTCGTCCATGTAATTTTACTCCCAGGAAAACTGTTTCTTTTACTTGATCAATTTTTTGACTATTAATTAAAAGTTGAATAGTTTGATTTGTACGCTTTTGGGATGGTTTAAATGCAATGAATTTGGTTTTTTTCAAGTTTAATGAAAGCCTGTTAGCTCTAAACCATATTGACAACTTATTTAGTTCGGTGTTCAGTATATTAGTAAGGCAGTCTTTATCCTTGTGAGACACAAATACGTTTGTATCATCGGCAAATAGTATCAGTTGTAATATTGTTGACGTGTTGATTATATCGTTGATCTAGAGTAGAAAAAACAAAGGCCCTAGTATTGAACCTTGGGGAACGCCACACATGATATTAGCACGATACGAAACATAACCATTGTATTCTACAAATTGAAGTCTGTTGGAAAAATAGTTCTTAATCCATTTCAGAGCCAAGCCACGTATACCATAGTGTTCAAGTTTATCAAATAAGATGGAATGATTGACTGTATCGAAAGCTTTTGAGAGATCTAAAAAGACACCAACCGCTAATTCACCACGATCAATAGCAGATGAAATTTTTTCATGCAAATAATAAATAATTTTCATGCAAATAATAAAATAATAATAAATTATAATCAGCCACAACTGAAATTGAGAAGTGCTGTTCTGAATACTTTGCAGTCGTCTGTCGTCACAAACACCAATGCTGGGATTTTTATAAATTGCAATAGTTCTTGCTCATCACAAAGATGTGAGCAAAATACTGAGTTCTTGTCAGCCACATTTTTAGTTTCCAAGATCATGCATTATCCACTTGCTAGGGTGTGAATTTCACTTTAATATTATGAGATAGTGAAGCAATCCAATTGCTTTAAAACACCTTTACACCACTGAGTGCATTATATATTAATTAACGTCATCTTTTCTCACTGATATCTTATCCGTTTTTCTGCTTCTGCTGAGTGCACAGTCCTATTGATACATACTTCCATTCTTCAAGCGTGTGCCTTCCTTTACTAAAACCAAAGAATGTAATAACTTTGTATTGGCTTCATTTACAGTGCACTTAATTTATGGCCCTGCTGATCCCATTAACCCTCCAATAACACTGGCCAAATATAGGTAAGCCATTTAGAGTGATGTTCTTAATTTAATTTTACCTCTAGTAGATCTGTTCATAAGTTGTGCAATGTGTGCAGCACTTTTAAGAGGAGAAAAGTCTGATCCCCTAAATTATTGACCAATTTTGCTGACCTTCTTTGCTTGCAAGATTTGTGAACATTATATTGTACATAGTCATGCTATGAAATAGTTGGAATGCTAAGTGACGTAGTACAGATTACCATCATGGTTTCAGGGTAAAGAGATCTATGGTGCTTCAACTAGTTATCACCTACTATGATACAGTTAATGCAATACAACAAAACCAAGTAGTACACATGCCACAGTTTTGGACTTCATGAAAGCATTCAATATAACACCAGCGATTTCTTAAGAAACTAGCAGGGTTTGTACAGTGTCTTGAATTCTTGAAAAAGTCGCAATTTTCCAGACCTGGAAAAAGTCTGGAAAATAGAATGAATGTCTGGAAAACTGGTAAAAAGTCTTAAATGATTTTTTTAAAGTTACAGCAAGTGCTTTATAAGTGGAATTTTTTTCGTTTTGGTCAAATCTTATTCAATATTAAAGGTCTCTATTGATCACCTATTTTATAACCTCGAGTCTGGAAAAAAAAAGTATTGTTTTGGGGAAAAGTCTTGAACTTTGAATCCAAAAATCTGTACGAATCCTGAACTAGAGTATTATGGAATCCTTGGTTCCCTGCTCTCCTAGAAAGAGTCTTTTTGACAGAGCTGCATCAAATCAAAAAGAGTTATTTGCAAAGAAGGGACATCTAATTCCTCCCCTATTTCCTCTGGGAACCCTGTTTCTTGATGTACTCAAACTACTTGCCTGATAGTCTGTAGTCCAAAGCACTGACCAGTAAAGTTGTTTGCAGATGATACACTATTATATGGTAGTATACCAATTTTTATTAAAAATTATGACAAAAAATTAAGATCTTCACAGTTTAGAATGGTGTCAACATCATTAGGAGTCATGGCAAATAGTATGTTAGAATGGTTTCAGCATGTCTCATCAATCTCAAGGAATGTATTCCCCCAAGAAGGTTAAGGAAACTGCATAAAAATTATTATTATGTTTCCTGGCATTGTTCGTCCCAAATTGAAATATGAGAGCGCCTCTTGGGACCCATCCTATAAGAAAGACATTAACAGGCTTTAGAAGGTCCAAAGAAATTAAGTAGCATGGTTTTGCCTCCAAAATTGCAACCTGACACAGCGAATGTAATGAATTAGGATGGGATCTTGTGGATATCAAAACAGAGGAAATATTATTTTAGTAATTAAGAAATATGCATACAAGTCATGCATTTAGCATAGAAAACCTAAAGTTAGCAAGTTCGTTTCTAAATGTACCTTTTTTCCTCAAAGCATAAGTGAACGAACTTTACCTTCAGAGATCATTCTAGCTCTTTACACCACTGTTTAAAGCTGCCTTAGGAAAACACATTAAATAGTATAATATACTATTTAATGTATTGTATTAATGTAGTGGAAATGAATATGACTTTATAAACTACTCAGGCCTGCTTTCTCGAAAAACTAATTGGCATTTTGTTTTTAAGTTGAAAGCCATTTTAGAACTTTTTTTCTGCAAGAGCTCCGCTGGGACACTAGTAAAAGTTTGTGCTACCCCAATGACATCATGGTGCAAAAATACATTTCTCTATTTTTTCTTCATGTTTGTCAACAGAGAACTAGTTGTCAAAGGGACCTTTACATCACTTAAAGATGATATTGGGCACTATCCCCACTGGGAGGATCCTGATGGATTTATGGCTGCATATCAACACTTTCTTAGCAAATTCATTCAAGAAAAGTAATATTTAACCGTCTACCCAGTATGAAAAGTATATTTTTGTAATGGATTCAAAAGGTAGGGACAATTTTTTTTAAAAAAATTGATGTCTGCTATTTTAAGGTGCTGGTTAGTCTTATTATAGTGTACACAGTAAATAATTGCTTGAACCTCTAAAGCTCGAAAAACTATGAACATCAGAAATATTTCTTGCACGTTTTAGTGTTGTAAGGAAGAAGTCAATCTGGTGTGAGAAAACTATAAACTGCAGCGAGTCCTGAGCTTTATTGTGGTTTTCCATTGCACACAACTAACACTCCTAAAACATTTCAATGTTCACAGTTTTATGAGTTTGACCTAACTGGTAAACAAAACAGCTGCTTTGGTCATCTGAAAAGTTATTGAATAAAATTAATTATGTTGACTTTTCATGAGCCCATGTGAATAACAGAAAGTTTATTGGTAATTAATGTAGTGTTAACCAGGCATGAAGTACCATAAAATTCTGAAAAATATAAGCCCCGGGGCTTATATTTTTCAAAGGCCCTTTTTGAGGGGCTTATATTTGGGGGGACTTATGTACTGAGGAAAATTTGCATTTCAAAATTGATTGGGCTAGCTTGTAGTGGGAGGGAAATTTACCATTTTTGCTTTGTTTTACTTTGTATTTGAGGGCAAATTCCAAGTACTAGCCACCCGGGGGCTTATAATTATTCGGAGGGGTGATGTAACAGAGGGTTTTTTGCATTACGATTTTTGGGGGGCTTATATTTGGAGGGGCTTATTTTCGGAATTTTACAGTACATCAAACAAGGCAAAAAAATAATGAGGCACAGCTAAGTTTAATGAGCCTAACTTTGATCTGTCTGGAAATCGGATGCAACACTGGGAGTGCAGTGTTTATAGAGCCTCTCAAATGAACAAAATTACTCTTTAGAAAATTTCAATGCAAGAGGTTGCAAAGTTTTATGGTGATTAATACCAGACATTCACATATGACACAGAAGTTTTTTTCTTTGTTTTGTAAACTAAATTGTTATTTAAGTGAGTTTGAGAACTAAAGGAATGTTTACAAAAGGAGTCCGATGAATGAAAGATAGGTTAGGAGACAGATTTACTGCTATTTCTATTCCTGGTTGGAAAACACTTGTTCCTAATTGAGTAATTATTTTAATTTTCAGTGGACAAAAACCTTGTACCAGAATAATTTAAAAAATATCACATTCTTTTTTACATTTTTCATTGGCTATGGATGTAATTAGTTATCTGTGATAACACCAAAGAAAACTTATCATGATAGCCTGAGAAAATAAATAATGTCAAATTTCACAAAATGACATCTTACAAATGAAATGTTCAGAATTTTACTTGTGTTTTCACAATTCTTGTGACAGTTATTTTCTCAGCCTCCCATGAGAAATAGTCTTTGGTGTTATTACAGATAATTTATTATACCTATAGCCCTTGAAAAATGTACAAAAGAATGCGATATTGTTTAAAATATTCCGGTACAAGGTTTTTGTCCACTGAATGTTGAAATTACTCAATTCCTGATGGATTCCATCTTAACACTACAATTTGGCACTAAACAAATCAACACATAAATAAAGTGTGTTCTTTTTATGAGGCACTTATCCTATTCTCCTGAATATGAAAAATTTCCCTTGCGGAAAGGGCTGAATGATGATGATGATGAGTTAAGTGCATAGTCAGAAAACCAAGCAACAAATATATACATTTAGAATGGTCTTTATTCCAAGAGTTGTTGACCATGGTGTGTTTGATGCAGTACAGAAAAGCAATTGAAATCATGCACTACTCATGGATGGAGTCTTCTGCTCCAGACAAACAACGATCTAACATTTTAAATAATATTGATAACTATATATAACCTTCAACATCTTAAAGGGGTAGACTTCAGCGACCTCACACCCTTGAAAAATGAACAGAAATGATCATTTTTTTTAATGGTGTAATTTTTTCTACAATTACGAGCATCCACTCCATGTTTTTTCACTGTTATTAAATTTTTATGTCATAAACCTATAAATGAGGTTAAAAAAATGATAATACTAATAGTGTTCATAAAGCAAAAAACTGAATGATTCTGGGAACTGTTGTAAAAGCATGAAAATGGCCAATTATAATCGAGGAAGATGTCAATACAAACAGAATTGTGAGGTAGGTACAGAAAGAGCCCACATCATTGCATAAGTACAAAATAATGCTAATTGCAAGAACTGTCTCGTAAGGACAGTAATATTATTCTGTAAACAATAAGTTATTCAGCTCAACTGAACAATAACTTTTTAGCAAATGTCAACTTCATGATTACTAATGGAATGCAAGAAAATGATTTCTCGAGTTTGGTTAGCTTATAAAATGTTCTACCATGTACAAAAAATCCTTTATCTCTCTGTACAGTTATTAAACATTAAGGAGTATAATAAGGAGCTTTGGTCAAATTGAAATACGTGCACATAAAGGAAGGAAACATTAATTATTTTGACACTATAATTATCATTGACTTTCAAAGAGAAGTGAATGAGGAAGAGAAGTATTATTTATTTTTAAATTCAATATTTGATAGAGGAATATTTTCTCCTCTAGTCTAATATGGATACATGTAGTTGTGTTTATTTTGTTGTACTGCTCATGATGCTTTTATGAAACTTTTTTTCATTTTATGGCTTTTCTAGCAAAAATTATAGCTCAGAACATGATTTCACACTTACAATAAATTATTTTAAATAGTGGAATTGAATCAAATTAAAGTACTTCTTTAAACAGTTTTTTTGCACTGTTTCCTTTGTTTATTAATTTTGCAAATCGAAATCACCAATAATTAACTGTCATAAAAAATCATAACTCTGCATTTTTTGATCTGAATTCAAAATTGAACAAGCTAAATATTTGTATAAAATTTAACACTCTTGTGCTTGCTGCAGTTTAAGAATGAATGCAAAATACTAATTCACCTTTAACATGTGACTAAACTGTTTAAGTATGTACATTTCAGGTGATTTAAACAACAACTTACTTCATTTTTTCTGAAAACTGGAAATCATCCTCGGCAAAGAATGTTATATCAAGAAAACCATTGTATTAATATATAACCAGTCCTTACTTCAGACACAATAACTTAATCTCCAATATTACCTATAACATCATGCTTTATAGGTGATTCAGAGACTTTTGATAATAAATACTGAATTCATCTAAAGGTCACGCTTTTTCTTGACCAAGACCTGTATTCTGTTACATATGCTTCAGCTGATATTATACTAGGTACTGGCATAACAACATATTCTCATTCTCATGCTTTTCAAATTCTTCATTATCTCACAAATGAACCTTCACCTGTAGTAATATGAAGCAGACTTCTGACATAAGGAATTAGCAAGAATAAGGGCTACATCACTCTATTAAAATGACAGCCCTTAAGCTATACTTTTCTGCTTTCCTGTCATTCTGTTAGAAAACGAAAAATTGAACGTGTGGAAGGGACAATAAACAGTTTAACAATAAATTTTTAGTCTAACCAAAACATCAATAAACCTTCTAAATATATTATAATATTTTCTTTGGTTCCTAAACTGTCTTTGGTAGTGAACAAATATCTTTCTTCAGTCTAATGAGAGCAGCTACAGCCTCTGAAGTTGTCAACTTGTATCCAAACAGTGATGTTGTTGTTCCACTGCAATAAAATAAATTAAAAATAAATAAATAAATGGAAAATAATTGTTCATGGTTGCCAAATGCTAAGATTTTAAAGGCTAACTGTACCTCTGGACTTAGACAGAACATTCTGCCACAATAAGATGGTTGTTAGTATAGTAAAAACAAGAATGCTCTTACAGCAGCTGTAAGTCTTGCTTGCTTGGAGATTAGATCAAGAAATGAGGAGGCCATCAATTCTACACAAAAGAGGATTTACTCGCTAAAGGTTTCTCACTTCCTACTTCTGGATATTTACTTTTTATTTGTTTCTCAATTGATTTAGCACGCGTGTTTGTGACAACTGGAAATAAGTCTGCGGTTGTAGGCTAAAAAAAAACGTCTTGATGTGTAAGGTTGATATCTTTAGTCTGCAGGCATGAGACTTGCACATGATGTGTGAGAGTTGGCAGGTATATAATGTGGCAGTCCAGAACTTGATTAATATTTTCTATATGTATCGCTTGTCATACATGTACTGAGAGGAGTCATCGGGTTCTTACCAGTTGATGTATTCATGTGCTGGGGTCCACTGCCTGTCAGTGACTGGTCCACATTCACCAAATGACCTCACATGCAAACATTTCAGCAGACTGCTTTTTCTTATCTGTCTCAGTGCAGTAATATCTACAATTAAGTTAAAAATAATATTTCACATCCACGCAAAAATCAACGAAATTACATTTCTCATTTTATTACTAACTTACTAACAAAAGTGATTCATGAATCACATGTAATTTAATCTGATACTGTGTGTGTGTTTCCTATACTATACTAAATTTAAACAATCAGAAAAGACAACACTCCATTTTGGCATTAAAGAAGGGGCACCACTCCAATAAAAAAAATTATTGGTATATGATGTCTAGGTCCAGTTGCCTCCATACATCACACTCCACGAGCTGTGATTTACTGTTCCTCCGTAAATCTTTGTTACCGCTAATTATAATACACTGGTAGCATAATAGAAGCTGTTCTTACCAGGTTTTCGGTTGCATTCAGCATAAATCCTAGCACATCTCTGTGCTGCAGAGGACTTCTGTTCTTCCTCTAATCCTTCAATCACAGCTATTCTGTCGGCAACTTCAGTGGCAGAGCATGCAATGATGTTATCACCATGAATCTGCAAGTACATTATTTTTATTAAAATCAAATCATTTCTTTGCATGTGTTAGTGTATTCACCAAGCAGATAAAAAAGTATGCACTACAGCTGGAGTCTGTCACATTGTTTTCATCTTTTGCACTTGACATGATGACATGAAGTCCTAAAAAAGGCTACGTATATTGGGGGCATGGAAACAGAATGGTACCATCCAAACAATTATCAGCTGTCAGTATTATGAACTGCAGGGTACTTTTAGCTCTGCTTTTTTTTAATAGCTCCCAATATAGATCATTCAGAAAATAAACCAAGATTTTAGGCTTACCACAACAGAACTTTCTACAAAGTCATCCATAAGCAGATGTCCCTCCAGCTTAAGGGTGTCAAATGGTGGAAAGAAGCCTTTCTTTGCTAGTTCACTCATGACTTCTCCATATCTTGAATCCCATCCATGTGCCTTTGCCAAAATCACCCTGGCGATGTCCCTTGCATTGCGTAATCGGCACTTGTTTCCATCAGCATCCAGAATGGCCACACCTCTGTAGATGAAGTCTTGTGCATAGTTACAGTTCATGGGATCTTTTTGTCCTGTTGATTTAACAAATTTACAAAATTGCTGTCATACTAACTCTTCAAGCCTTAACTGTGACCAGCGTGCACTTCACATAGTAATGTGGATGATGGAAAATGATGAAAAAAGATTGTTTCTGATAATTTTTTTTTTTCTTCTTATCAATGCCAGCAAAAAAAAGAATGGATATGGAGATCTAGTGGATAAGTGTCCTGATTTGCTAGTAAGGGTTAAGGAGCATACGTCAGTGCTTATATTCCAGAGGAGAATGCTTTTACCATTGAGGATGGAAGGCCACTGATCTCTCTTCTCTTCAAGTTCCTCCTTTAGCTTTGTTCTTCGCTCATTTCTTAAGAAAAGCTCCTGTGCTGAACGGTGCTCCATGTCATATACGCCAGTCTCCATTGACAGCTGTCCATGCCGTTTGTAGTGAACAATGTCATGGTGAAAATTGCCTCTAATTTGCTCTGTTAATTTGGATGCACTTTCCTCCAACATGTGAGTACATCGTGCTGTTGAGGGGAGTCTGGAGAGAGATCTAATGTTACAACAATTACTTAGACCTTGCACAAACAAAATTCCCATCTGTCTTTTTTTGAATGATAAAAAAAACCTGTATGGAAGATTTTATCAAGAGACCATGACAAATTGTGTGGTATTCTCATTAGACTCAGTCCTTTGACTTATGGGAAAAGATCCCATGATCTGGGAACACACAAAATACAGGTAACACAGAAACAAACAAACAATAATAAAAACGAGGGATGTACAGCAGACAGAATGATAGTCTTTTGTCTTTGATCAACAAATGTTTGCCTGAGTGTACAATGATTTGAAGTAATATATTCACCTGTAGTCAAATCGTGCCCTACATCCTTTACATCGTGATGATCTGGCCTCAATCTCTGCCATAAGTAACTTATTCCGTGTTTCTTGTCTGTTCTTCCAGCCAATAAGCCACTTAGCCGCATCCTCTGCTGATTGTTGAGGTGCATACTGATAACTAGCAGGTGTACTAACATATGGCATACACCGTGCATCAACTGTCTCTATCTCACTGTAGGAGCTGTGTAAGCTCTCTAGTGCCCTTATAACTTCTCGCTCTCTCTGAACCAAGGCACATTGCTTCTCTGCCTCTCTAATGTTCTTCTGTCTTTGCTTATGATTAAGTCTGTCTTGTAAAGCCTCCTTGCTGCCATATTTCTTTCTTGCAATAGTTATTAGATCAGATACTAGGAATTCATAAGAATCATTATCTATGGTCCTGAGATCTCTTTCTGTCAGACTGAATTGCTCCTGTAGAAAGGACAAGGCAAATTTGTTTTTTAACTTATTGTTTATTGTTTGTACAGAATGCATATTTTCTTTTCCTGTGATTAGCTGTTTGCCTTACCAATGAATACCAATACCAATGGGAAAGTCACCGTGCTACTCTGGAGAAAACTTCATAAAGGATAGAATAAAAGGGACCATTTTTGGTACACCATGTACATGTATGTCAGTTACTATACCTCAACCAGGAAGTGAAGAAACAGACTAACAGATAACTAGAACAACTTTTGCTACTTTTTGGTGCATGGTGCTATACAAAATGTACAAATTGTAAATGGCTATATGCCCGGCCGTATTAAAGAAAAATTATTAGCAAGAGATCAGACATGCATAATCACAATACTAGAAAAAGGGCTAATTATTTTTTATCTTCCTCAGTGTAAAATGACCACCGCTCAAAGCTCTTTTTATTTTCATTCAGTAAACAACTATCCAGTTTTAAGCACAAATTAATGTTAAATGCAAATTATGTACAGATTACGAGTCTTGAATTGCATAGTATTTTTTTCTAAGATAATTTTGGATATTGTGGTAGAATTAGTATTTTAATTTATGTATTAATTACCTCTTTATCCTCTAGTAGCTTAAGACATTATCCTGAATTGTTAAATTGTAAGTTTATTCTAATTTATTGTTATTTTTCTGTTTTCTTCATCAATATTATTGCAAATTACACTCTGAAAAGCCCTTGTGGAGAGTTACTGTACTGTACTATACTGTAGACTATGCCATAAATTTGTTAAGTAGGTAAGTAAGTAATTGGTTTAAAAGCAGTGTTTTCATATTGTGGCTCTTCATCTGTTGCTTAATTTATAACTAAAAAATAAAAATATGTATCCAATATTCACAATAAAAATACACTATCAAAAAAATAGACAAATATTGATGAAAAGAGAAAGTACAGTATTTACAAGATCGTATGTACAAAACTTAAAATACAATAATTATTAAGTTAAGCTGGCTAGCTGTGCCCTGTTCTTTAAGAATTTAAAAATGTGTGAGCTAAATAAGTCCAGCAAAGATATGACGCAATGTAGGAGCATTACCTTAGCATGGCATTTTCGCCTGTAGAACAAAGGATGACAGCTATCACAGAGTGTTACATCAAAATGAACATCAACACGATGAGAACAGTTCCGATAGCACACAACACATCTCCACTTTGAGTACAGCCAATTTCTCCTTGCCATGATTTCCCAACAATTATCACCCTGGCAAAGTTCAACAGCTTTATCATAAGAAAACACAGATAATTCATTCAAAGGATTTGCAACGCAGAGTACCGTGGGCTTGTGCACCAGGCCAAGTCTTGCACACAGAGGTTTCCAGATGCGTTTGGCATGAGAGTTCATTACACGGCAAGTTGATCCTAAGGAAGATAAAGCTGGTGCATCAAGGAAGGAAAGCAGGAAGTTGAGCATTTCTGGTGGAAGGCTCCCAAAGTAAGGGCCAGTGCTTTCAATGCCGCTGTTTCTTCTTTCCCTTACGTACAATCTTGTGATGTAACGTGGACCGCTGCAGACAAAACTTCCATGGCAAATGTCTTCAGTCTTTTTTCTTTTGGCTCCTGGAGGCATGTTTCTTCTCTCAGACAGAGTTTTTCCTGATTGACTGTAAAGGAAAATTTGAGTGAAAAATGGGCCATGTACATGTACCACATCATGTGGTGGAAGAAATACGTTATATTAACTTTTTTCACTCAAGTAACTATCCAGAGAGAAGCTACAAAACTGTAGGTATTCAGAACCATCTTTCTTAGGGGAGACATTAGGGGACATTGTCAGATTAAATTTTAATCTGATAATGTAGGATGATCCCACTGTGTTTACATGTATACAGCTATTTCGAGAAAAGTTGTCGGAAAAAGTGCACACAACAATCCCGAAAGGTATTGTGGGTGGTTTTGAGTTCACTGTTCTTCAAAGAAATTTGAGAGAATGGCATGAGAGGCCATGGACGTATGTTTGCGAGTGCTAAAGGAAAGTAACAAAGGTAGGTTCGACAGCTACAGTGTCAGGAACAGTAAAATGATCGTATCCCATATTACCTTTCGGGATTGTCGCGTGCACATTTTTTCCGACAACCTTCCTTGAAATAGCTGTATTTTCTAATGTTGTACACACTGGGTGCTAACCGAAGGATTTACAGTATTTTAATGATATGCGGGTTTAAAATCTGGGAGTGTTATTTCTTATGGAGCCATCTATTCACTCTTCATGAATTGCATCAACCTGCAATCAGGCAGTTATTGTTTGACTATCTACTGACTTTCATGCTCCCCACCCAAAAAGAAAGAATGCCTGATTGCAAGTTAGAATTGCATGTAGAGGTCAAATTCTGCACTTTGGATATATTTCTACTCATTTCAGCTAGAATGGGCCTGGTTCATATGGGAAACCAATTCATTGTGCTTGTAGAATGACCATTTTCTAAATGCAAGTATTCTATGCAGGGAAATTAAGGTAGAAGTTTTATCTTCTCCTGAGTTCAAAGGTCAAAGTGTTAAGTTTTCACTTGAAATCATTACCAATTGAAAATTAAATTACTCTTCTGTTGACCTTTGATCGCTATATGTAACCAAGCTTCTGAGCATTTTTGAGCTACAATCTGCTAATTTCACTAAAATTATTAAATGATTAAATTTCATTTTTTCATGTTCTATTCAGATTTCTTCAATTTTTCAAATGAGAAACCAAAAATTATTTAAGATTATGTTTTTTTTAGGAGAAGTTGTTTTCGATAACATTTTCCCTTCCTTATATGACTTACATGTAAATGTACCTTCTGCCTTAGGGCAAACATGGTCATTTGAAACCCCTATAACTCTGACACTAATTGGCTGATGTTGTCCCATACCATGAATACCAAATTGTATGTCAGCCTGGCCAGTTTCAAAGCAGAAAAATAAGGAAAAATCATTTGCTTATTCTATGTCAGTATCCACACTTTAAAGGGGAACAGAATCACTTAAAATAACAGCCTTGAATACGAATAAATGAATACATGCTCAGGACCCGAAACCTTTTTTAAGAGGTTAGGGAAAAAACCACAGGGGTACTGCTGAACAAGCTTGCATGAACCTGAGTAATAAAACTCCAACAAAAAGAAATAAAATGTTTGTTTAAAATCGAAGATAGCGATTCTTTATTCATATGATAATGCGGTGAGCTCCAACAGGCTCCGCCAATTTAGAAGCGATATTTTAAAATTCATGGTCAATTTTATTGTTTGAGGCCTGCGGAACAAAATTTGTTTTGATCCTTCAAGAAATCTCATCCTCACGAAACCTTCAGAAGGCTTTCAACAGACATGTTACTCTCCAATTACCTTGTATGTGCCAGTATATAAACATTATGTACCTTTTCTTAGCCTGAAAACATTAACTTCCATCTTTAAAGTTAAGAAAAATGTTCATGAGGAAGAATCAGAGTAAGGCACTTCACAAAACCCTACATCAGAAATTAGAAATTTTAACACCACCTCGGCTTAAAACATGCAACTCTCCTCGGGTCCTGCTGGACGTTCCTTCTTGATGCATTTCACAACTGTTCGTTACTAGCCTTTCAGAGATGACCTAAAGTAGCAGCGGTTAGAGAATCTGCCGTGGTTATTTCTTTCGCAAATTTTCAATGCCTCGCATTTTACATGTAAGATTAAAAATTGATACCAAATTGCTGTGACATGTGGCATTTCAGAATTATGCATGAAGAAGGGCTTCGAACTTTTGTTCCGGTTTTTCCGAAGAACTTCGATACACTTTTGCCCAGCTTTCTGGTGAATCTCTTCACCCTTATAAAACTAGAAATACTTTGAAAAATGGGTACAGCAACCTCAAATACGCAGCGATTCTTACATCTATTCGCGTTTTCGCACCTCAACGCCTCGAAGATTCGCTTACAAAAACAATAAACGCTCCGTAGAGTTCTGCTGGCGAAAACGAGCTCCATTAAGATTTCTTAAACGATTTTCGGTTCAATTCCCGCTGTTGAACTCTGAGAGAAAGTTTTGTTGAATTATATATCAACCAGACAGACGTAGAAATCGAGCAAAAAGATGTTTTGTGGGCTAGCTTTGTTGTACAAGTTCTGAATATGCATTAGGTCGCCCACAAAGAAGTTAAACCATATCGGAGAATTATTTGAATTTTTCTTCGATTATCCAGTAAAACTTATTTTCTGTCGAGTAAATAGTGGCTTGATTGATAGCAATAAAAAGAAATACACAACTGCAAACAGATAAAGCTCTGCTTCAGATCGAGAAATTCTTTCCAACTGCAAGTTAGTTGTAAACGAAGCACTTTGGAAATACATGGCTACATTCACAATATTCAGTAAGACATTTTCACGCCATCAAATGCTCAGGAGAGAAACTGAAATTCTCAGTTTAAATTCTGAAAACCTATTTTGTAAAATCATCTCTGTGTCAGAATAACATATAATAGGAAGACGACCTCCTGGGCGATTAAAAAAGCACAGGCTCGATGTACGGCTTGTGTTACACTTGTTTCGAACTTAACCAACTAGAAGCTAGTTGGCAGACCAAAGAACTTGATAGCAATTTTAAACACTCACCGATTCCTTTCCCTGCTTTGGAAGAGAAAAAGCAACCAAAACTTGCCCAGTCGCGACAAAATGTAATGGCGGATAAGCGCTGAGAGATTATAACACACACATCCAAAGGAAATTTGGCTGTCACTAAAATCTGACTTTCATCAACCGCGAATATTTAAATACCCCTTACGTCTCATGTGTCCTATTAACAAGCAACCAACCAGAGCACAGGAAATTTACAACGTGACCAATGAGAGGATGAGAAACATATTCGAACCAGAGGTGATAACATGTACTCTCACGTGCACGAAACAATAGAAATCTCTCAAAAAAGGTTGCTACACAAAAGAATATATGAACTCCCACAATAGCTTTGATTGTAGTGATATTAGCATAACCTATTACAGCATGGAAATCAATTCAAATTGAGTGAAAATAAATTCAGACCATTGTTGTTTATATTAACCTTACACTGTAATTTTTCACGCTATGCATGTGAATGAGGACTTCGTCTATACAACTTGTTTTGTTACGCGACCAATAGGCTCTGGTTTTTCTGCTCCCCTTAAGAATGAACAAGCACTGGAAACGGATAAATATCTGAGTTTTTAGTTTTCTTGTTGTTGGTTTTGTTAATAACTCGGAAATAACGCCCGCCACCGGCCTATCAGCCTTTTTGTCCCCATTGTGTGAAGTATCTATGCATGCACGTAGCTACAGCTTGCCAAGTTAATATCGACTCAAGAATTTAAATTGCCTAAGGCGCAAAACCTTGTTAGTGCATGAGGAAAAACATGCGTTACCTCGCGTTGTTTTCATTCTGGAGTTAAGTCTTGAACTTGTTTTATCTTGTCATAGTCACGGAATATTCTTCCCTTGAATTAGTTTTGGTCTGATATCTCAAAAAGTCTTCAAGTTAAAGATTCTGCCAGTTGTATGGTTTTACCAACTATAAGCTACTGTTGTTATTCTAATGCGGGTTTCTTTTAAGTAATGATCTCACTTCAAATTGTTTGTTCGCTAAATATAATTGGCAATATCTCGCAAAAACTCCAAAAAGCACTTTCACAATTGCACGAGATTGTATAATTTTTTGTGTAACTCTGTTCCTTAGAATGTTTTCAAAATGAAACTACACAGTGAAGGTTTTTTCATTTTCTTTGAGTTTCGATTTTGACTGGTATTTTCAAGGCAGCGGAAGTGCATGCACTATTGGATTTATCATCCTCTGTGATTGTTACTGAATGCTTTTTCATAAAATAACCGACAAAATACATGTGGGTTTACATGGAAACCTCTTTGTCTTTCCCGTCTCTATCTTTTGCGGTTTTCTCTTTCACAAGTGTGCGGGGAGCCACAAGATCTTTTTTAGTAGTCTGACATCGGAAGATGACAAAAAGTACTTGTTAAGAAAAATATTTATAAAGTCGACGTATTAAAGCCCATACTATAACAGCGGAAATTGAATTGCAAAAGAAAACTTTTGTAGTTTTCTTAATCACCAAAAATTGAGCAGGACAAGCCCGCGTGCAATATTTTTTTTGTATTAATGTTTTCTTGCTTAGTTTTACGACCTTCGTATAAAAAAGCACATCGTGGAAGGGGGAATATTAAAAAGTAGTGGCATCAGTGGAAAATACTGTTCTGATCTCTTGATTGTTCAGTGTTGCTAAGTAGGACCCACAAACTAAGACAGCGCTCCGGCAGTTTGTTAAGAACGGATTCTTTGAATAGTTCAGTTAGTTGAAACTGTCCACACCGTACGTGACTCGTTAGACAATTTTGACGTTGTGATCCGGCCCGGCGTGATTTGTATTGCCAAGAGGGGAATAATGATCAGCGGGAAAATCTCTTTGCAATATTTTTGTTTAAATGCAGTCGCCTACAAGTAAACACTCTTTTGATGAACCATTCAGTTTGTGGTTGTGAATGATGTAATTTCCTTAAAATGCCCTTAATCGCCATTAATTTATTCCAGTCAGGTTTTCTTTTTTTGCAGTAATCCGATGACAGAACCACAGATTTTTTTGTTTTCCTGTTCTAATTTCCGTCATTTCTGATACTTCTGAGTGACTTCAAAAGTTCTGACTACTGAAGGACGCCTGGATAAGACGTGTTTCAAGCTTACATCGACTTCTTTTACGTTTTAAGTATTTAAACTTAAAAACAGTTAACGAATTTAGGGCCTTAAGTCTCAATAAAACACTTTCAGAAAAGTAGCTTAGTCCATAATGTTTTTTACGTCAGTAACATGTTGTGAAATATTTGGAAAAAGAAATGATGCAGTTTGTGAAAAACGTTTTGGTTCGTTTCACCAGTTCCTCATGACCTCTTGAGCCTTGTGTTCGTTTTGAACCGTTTTTGATAAACGAAATAAACGGTTAATGCGGCATAATTTTTAGAATTGGGAATATTTTACGGTTTATAAGTTTATAATTGCTTACCTTAGTCCTGTTTTAGCGGAAAAAGATGATCTCCCGTCGGTTTGGCCTTTGTATACAACGCCTGGGGGGTACTTCCTAGTAGTGTGCCGCTGGATGTCATGGGGTCGCATTTTCGCGGCTGGATTGACCATAATGGGATTGCATTTTCATTGGAATAACTGGAATGGGACCTCGCATTTTCGGGATTTGGGGGATCAGAAAAATGAGGTAGGTACGGATTTAAAAATAGAAGGATTTTTACTTGATTAATTTTAACCAATCATCAAGTGTCAATTCATTGCAGGATGAACTAGTTATATAAGGTAGATCACAGAAAGTTACTAAGTTGGGATCACGAAAATTACATTTTCCCAAAAGTGACTAAGATGGGGTCTATATTTGGCACATGGGGTAGCAAAAATGAACCCAAGTAACCCCCCTGGGTTCAACGCCGTGGTAAAATCCTCGTTGAGCTATGGGAACACCTTACCGACAGCGAAAAATGGCGCGAATTAACGGATCTCGTCTGATTGGCCGTTCATTGTCTTGTAATGTTTGAGACAAAACGGAGCCGTATGAAGTGGCATCGCCGGATGTTTTCTGACATTTCTTTGTGTTGCTCCTCGTTTATTTGATTCGTTTTATACTTAAAAAAAAAAAACTAATATGGAGAAGGCATTGTTCGATTGGCCAATCGTCTCGCAGTATGACGTCAAACCAAAGTATCGATTGAATAGAGTACCAAAGCGGTGACCTCATAAAAATGAAGTTTCCTAAATTATGGGATTTGTCAGGATATTCTGAAAGAACAATGTCCAGGAGGCCTACTTGTCAAAAATGAGCATTTCGGGGCAAATTGTCTCTGAGATCATAGCCCAGTTATGCTTAGAAAACTCCATACAAACCCTTCTACATTTTTTTGGGTCGACGCGCGCTTTGTCGGGTTATTTAGTTGAAGTTTTCTCCGGACCGACTTGGCTTTCCCTTTTCGGCGCTGACTCTCTTTCCAGGTCTGTTCACTGTGCCCCTGATGAGAATGACAGACTCTTCTGAGCAGACTAATATTTTTAAATTAACCCCAGTCTATGTTCCCGTTGATATTAGTGAGCTCACGAGAACTTAATAACAGTATAACATAGCTACTTATCTATTTAGTTATCGTCCCATAGCTTAATGAGTATTTACCACTTACTTAACGTATTTGTGGCTATTTTTCCCGCAGCTACATGTAGTTTACGCTTAATGAACTAATGTGTGGTCATTGAACTGCTGGTGTGGTCATTGATCTGTTGTGTACTTATTGAACTGCTGTGTGGTTATTGAACTAACAAAAAGGAAAACGGAGGCTTGTACGAAATGAGCACAGTTTGCAAATTGAGCTAGAATGCTTTGCGATCGTAGCGTCCACACCACCTGAGCCCGGGATTAGATTTTAACCCGGGTCTCTTTTCTAAAGCATCTTCTCGGATAATTTTCTATATTCTTTTTCGCGTAACTAATCATCAAATGGAAGACAAAAAGAATTGAATTGAATTTGCTTTTTAAACTTTCATATCTGAATTCAATTTTTGCTCCAACCCTAGGTTACCTTACTGAATCAGCTTTGAACAACGCGGCCCTTAATTCAAATTTGGCAAAAACCCTGGGTTATCTTTACCCAGCTTTGAACAACCCGGCCCGGAATTTTATCGACCTGTTAAAGGGCCATGTTGCATTATCAATTTTCCCTGGGAATATGATGTCATTTTTCCTTTCTGGGTTTTCTGGGCCTTAAAAAGGGTGAAACTAAGCGATGTCTCAAGGACAGATTTAACGAACACAGACGTGCAGTCGACAAAACAAACATTAAATCTAAACCCACTACTGTTTCTGAACACTTTCTCTCTCACTCTAACCATTCGCATACTGACATGCAGTTAATCCTACTAGAGAAAATTCATTCTTCACGTGACTCAGTTCGTAAGGCCAGGGAGTCGCATTTGATAGATAAGGCCATGACTCTTGAACCTCATGGCCTCAACCGCCGTGACTAATTATTGTAATCCATATCCTTAGTGTTTTTCCTCTCCAGTTTTTATGTTGTACGTCATTTCCGCCTCTCCCTTTTATTGCGACATTCTCCATCTATATAATATTGTGATTGCTACATAAGTTCAGTAACATCTGTAAACCTGAAGAGGGCTGGTATGGCCAGCCGAAATATTGTTGTAAAAAACAATACTCGTTGTTTTAAATCAGCTTTGCAGTAGTCTTTGGACTTCTCGTTCTTGATCTCTTTTCTAGAGATCCAACGTTTACAACTAGCAGGATCTTCGTCCACGGTTTTAATCCCTTAAAAAGGGTGCCAATTTTCATAGTTTATTTCTCTTACATGTAAATAAATATGCCCATTCCTTTAGATTAAGAAAGAAAGCTCAAAAGAAGCAGTATTGTCCCGTATTCCCTGTTCCCTAGACGAAAGATGATAGATTGAAACAAAAGAGAAAGAGCTCAAAATAAGCCGATTATGCTAGCAGGCCTGGGGCTACTTTTATAAACAGTGCTAACAACAAACATGTTAGCACAATCGATAAGAACCTACTCTCCTCTGTTCGATGTAAACGAACGTTCCCTCCAGAGGAACTTTGGATTGCTTTCGTACACATTTACTCACCACTGCTAATATGTGTTTTATACTTGGCTAAATCTACAATATATAGATTTAGTCAGAGCTAAGG